AGGGCAAGTGGGGCAATATGTGAAGAATAATGCTTGTTTAGGTGCAGTTGGCTTTCCCAGTTCAGATCTGTTGATCATCCCAATGGTGCTTTGAAATGAGCCCCCAATGTTTTCCGCCCCGCCAATGGTGCATCTCGTGCGGGTAGTACATAAACAAACAAATGAACAAATAAAGGCTTATGGACCGGATGCGCAGAATAAGCCAGATTACCATGACTAGTTGCAGCCTAGAAAGTAATACCTCGCTGAGAGGCACCTATTCGTCATCTTTAAGTTCCTTTGATTCCTCCCTTCCCTGCACTTCGTCACACTTGATTTCCTTTCATAAATCATTCCCCCTTCCTTTGTCTTACGCAGTTTCGTTCAATCTACCGAACCCTTCAGATCTTCACTTGAGTCCTTTCTTGATGAATCGATCGCCTTTGTGTTCTGTTCTTTTGATTGCAGCTTGAACACCGCTTTTGAACCCCCAAGGACATGTGCCCACTATATGACCCTATTTCATACTTAAAGGCAAAAGGCACGCTAAATCCCCAATAAGTGTGGGACTAATACGCCTACTAGGACAGAATTCGCCGTCCCTGAGCAGGTGCTGCGTGGCGCCTTGCCCAAGGAAGGTGCCTTTACAGCGCCCTATCAAGCTGCAACATACCGACCCGGACGCCCACCGCGCCCACAAATGTCCGACCGATGCTGATGCTTGTATCGCTTCATTTGCAAAATACTGTATGAAGCGAAGGGATTGAGGATATGGAGCGGCTGCGGTACTGCTTGGGCGGTTACTAAGAAACTCGTCCGAAAATGCTTTCTGAGTAATGTAGAACAAAAATTTCTTGCAGGTTTTTGACCGTCTCACTTCGTTTTTTCCTCATTTTCCCCCCACTATAGCACTTCCAGCACTCAAATATAGCCCACTATAGCACTAAATATTTGGACCGAGTATAAAATTATTCGCTGACCTTGTGCCTTTAGCGTCAAAGTAATCTCTAGGACTTCGGGCAAGCGGAGGGGCTATAGCAGCAAGAAGGCGAAGACACTATGGGGAAAGCCGATAGATGCCTGCAGGCTATCGTCTAATATGATCCGGCACCAACTTACCTTAGAGGGGAAAGGGGTGCTCTGAAGGATTGTTTGGACACAACTGAGATTGCTGTTTTGCTCTCCGCTACCTCTAGTTTTGCACGAGAGACAGCTAAATCATAAGGGAGACCTAGAAATCCTAGAAGACTAGAGGAAGATGAAAGTGAGGCCAGAAGTAATGTACAGTCCCGCTTAGTTGCTGAGGATGATGGGGCATGTCAGTGAGGCAGGACTTGGCACACTGCCAGCCCGCTCTCCACCAGTTGCTAAAGCCCTTAAGCGACAACGACTGGTAGAAAACGGCTCATCCGAACGATATGATACTACGTTTTCGTTTGCTTGAGGACAAAGAGAGATTTAAACGAGCTGGCGCTGCGCCAAATCCATCCCTCTTTGACACGCCCCATCATAAGCAGCGAACACGATTGTATATCATCGTTGCGCGAGTCTTATCGAAAGGGTCGTTTCGGCAGCTGGGGGTTGTATCCCCCAAACTGGTTGGCTGCCCGGCGAAACTATTAGTTGAAATTATCCATTACGACCCCGAGAATCAGAATCTATTGGGTGTAAACTATTTGAGAAAATTCTCTTAGATGGTAACGCTGGGACGGAAATCTCGACCTTTGTTACGAAAACCGTCCCTTGCAGAGGGGGTGGTCATTTAGCACGTCTCACCCATGCCCTAGTGCTAGAGTTTTTGAGGATAGCACTCAACCTGAACATGGATCGGCAGCGTTAAATCGGAGATGTGACAAGACAGTCACAGTGTAGTGCGCTGGTGGGTGTGGCGTGGGGAGCGGCGCCGCGCCCCTAGGACGAGTTGTCCTAGGAACAATCTGAATTCAAGTGTTCAGGGACGGGAAATTTTGATATCGCCCTTGATGGAGTCTTGTCTCGCCTTGAATTCCTGCAATTTTCGTTGCCTCAGTTCATAAACATCGAGAACTTGTCGCGCATCGTCGCAGATACGCCGCGCGCGACGACGCGACAAATTACGATTGTCTTGACCGTCTCCCTGCTTAATCATTGTGTATCATGCACCATCTAGGGCTTCTATAATTTTTCTGATAGGAACGTTGAACCAAAAAGGTTGGAATAATGCTATTCGAAGTCCCGATGCATCCTGTTCCCCAATACCCTGACATAAAGGCCCGATTAACAAGCTACAATCGTTCTCCGCTTTTTCATTTCAATTCCGAGTGCATAGATATCTGCAGAAAAAGCCTGGAAAAGGGTTCCGCGCTGTGATCATTACTTTTTTGCCGAACGGAACGGAATCCATAGGCTATTTTTATCGCACTGCTGTAAACTGGACAGAGGGGAAACAAAAACATTGGCAAGATATCGGATCATTGTTTGGTACTTGTCGGATTCTCAGAACGTCAGTCGTCCTCTGGGATGTTGCATTGTGCAGTTGCTTTTGCTTCCTCGAGTTTTCCTGACACTGTTGGCAAGTACTGCACGGAGCTGCGGTCACACACTGCACTGAACAGCATGCCGTACCTTGGCGGTCCCCAACAGCGAAGTGGCTGGGTTGGTGGAAGGGACCACCGTAATTCGAAAAAAAAAGTTGCCAACACGATAAATTTGGTAATCTCACAATTACTAGGCTCCTTCGGCTTTCAAAGCCATAATGCACAATGATTTTGGTACTCGCTCAAAAATACTAGCAGGGGTTATATAGTGGTAAATAGACGAAAAAATGGAGTCAAGCGGCTAAAAACGTGCGGAAAAGACCTTTGTTCTGCACGACCTTGGTCGAGCTTTTCTGGACGAGTTTGCCGTTGGCATCGTGCCAACAACCGTTTTGATAGATACGGCTGCACGTATATGTTCTCTTAACCGTGTAGCAACGCTTCATCTGTGCTTCATAACTGAAGCGATAAGAGTACCAGCGGCGATGTGACTGCGCGGCTTATGTGGGCGGGAGGTTGCGGTGGGCATGTGGGTGGGCATGGTGTGCTTTGGTTAGGTGCTTTGCCTGCGCCTCTTAAGGGGCACAATATTTTTCCGTGCTAGGCGTATCGACCCTGTACGCCTTGTAGATTATCGTGTTGCTTGTCTTCAAAGGTTGTCGTAAGAAAT